TTATTTTACGAGGGTAACATTTGACAGTATTAAAACTGATAACCTAATGGCCCTCAAAAATTAAAATGTGCGAGAAAGCAAGAGTAAATTAGACCACTTTTACCAGTTGTTTATCGAGCTTTTTTGTCATGTTTTTTAGGCCCTAGGCTTAAACACATGTTTGAATGGAGTTTGAAACCATTACTACGTATACCGAAGTGATTTAATGCCTTTCAAAGGCTGAAGTGGTTTTCGTTTCTTCTTAGGGTTACTTGCGTCGTGTTTGCACGTGTGATTAATTCTGACATCTGGCAGGCATCATAGTGCACGCTACTGAGTCTCTGAAAAACTGTAGAAAGCCACCTTAAAAGCTGAATTCGAACTGACGCCAGGCACAAGATGCCATCTTGGATTTGAATGTTGATAAGAACCTGGGAACGAGTCCCATGACCCATTATGCAATGCTCTAATAATAATAATAATCTCTGCTCTGAGAAAGGAGAGCATTAATTTAAACTGTTATTCGAACAGAAATGCATCAGGAATGATGTTTATAAGCAACAAAATCTGGTTCTTTTGGCCCTAAAAGAAATTGTAAGTATAAAGAATCACAAGGCCTCTGGATTAAGACTTAAAATGGTGTTTTGATGATCAGCGCTGCAAAGAAGTTTATCCCTAAACTTGATCTTGGCAACATTTTGCAGAAATTGTGAGTGTCTTTCTTCTTGTACAATCATAACTTAACCAAAAGCAATTTAAAGCTTGTCATAGTTGATCTGAAATTATTTCTGTTGCGAGCAATTGCTTTTAACTTACATGAAACCTTCAGAGGTCAACGTACATGTGTTTAGCTGATATTAATTTCATGTTGCTGTCTGCTTCTGTTCTAGTTATTCACTGGTTATTAAAACAGAAAATCTTGAAGTAATAGATTCACCACAGAACCATATGGTTAACAAGCTAAGTAAAAAACAATTCACAAACACGAGTGATGATACTTTCACTATTTCCATCACAATCTGCTCCACTCTGTTGGACCTCACAGGAAATACACTGCAGTCTTGCAGTTCGAAACTTTGAATTTGAAGCTAGACCTTCAAAAATGTCAGTAAGCTTAAATCTCTATGTCACATAGAGAAACCCTTCAAATTTAGGAAATAAAATTAATTATGAACAGAAACAAGATGTTCCAGCTGGTCTTTAACCTGATGTGGTCTCCTCTTTAGCTTTGGACACTGGACAAAAATCTTAGTGATAATTCTTTTAAGAGCAGTAATAGAAGTTTAATGTTGGTGAGTCATTGAATTCTGGTGCAGTATTATTTTGTTTAAATTGTCCTTTGCCTCTTAATTTAATGTCACTGTTTTTTTTATACACTGTGTCTTGATACCCGACAGTCGCAAAGTGTTTTGAAAAACACTAGATACCTAGATAAATTAGATAACTTACTAGATACTAGATAAATTATTATTTATGAAATTTCCACTGAAAAACTAATTCATTTCTTCATAGAATAGTAGATCTTTCTTTCAAAATGTCAAGCAATTTCAACCATAATTTTGACTTTGCAGTTTAAGAAATTTCACCCTTGGACATACTATAAAATTTCTATGTTTTTACACTGAGAAAATAATTATAGCACTTGGATTCTGGAGTCAACTCTCATAGACTTAAGTCCACACACAGTTGAAGCCCTCTGAGAGTACTAGATATTTGTTCAGAAATGCCAAGGGATTGTTAAAGAACATTTTGGTTTTGTGTTGGTTGAATTCTCTTG